ATATGATACATTTTAAGTGCTTTGAGCACCAGGAAAAGCACTATATAAATAACATGTATTATTATCATTAGTATTATTATTTTTAATTGCTTGAATAGGTATACACATATACACAAGACAGCTCTCTGCATTATGTTGGTCATGGGGTTATCCTGTGACAATTTGAGAAACAGGATTAGTTTGGACAAACTCAAAACCCACTGATACTTTACTTGAACTGCAAAACTTACTTACTTATTTACTTTAACAATAACCAACTATCTCCCCAGGTAAAACTCAGCTTAGCAACACAAAACCATTCAAGGCCTCTGACATACCATACACACAACCACACCACAGCTCCATAGTAAGGTTGATGATGTCACTTCATTCACAACTCACCACGGTACATTCATAAGCATTCAACTTGGATCACTAGACAAGCCCGCAATTTGTCACTAGCCATGGCCAAACAAATGATACAACATGTGTTTGTCAGTATGTCAGCAGATGGATGAGTGTCAAAATGATGGATGAGGGATGTTGTAAGGTGTAAATATAAACTAACAACAAGGCTGAAGCCAAGCAAACAAAATACAGAGTGGTACTCCAAACGGGGGAGAGAGACAGAGACGGCTGGGTGCCATAGGGAGCCTGTCTAGATGCACTGAGTTGCCATCATTAACCACGCCTATCAGGACCTGTAAAGACACACCCAGCATACAGAGGAAAGACATACACGCACAACAATAGGCCATGCTAAAGCAGGAGGGCTGTTACAGAGGGATGCAGTGATGAAGGGTCGAAGCAAGGGAAGGATGTTTGTCAAAGGGACATTCAAGGGAGGGTTGCAGGGAGGAAGGGATGAATGGACAAGAAAATGTAGGGGGGGGGTTTAAAGGGTCAACAAGATGTACAGAGGGAGGGTGGAATAGACAAAGGAATGTAGGGAGGGAAGTATTTTAAGGATCGAAGGGATGTGTGGAGGGAGGGAGGAAGGGATGAATGGATAAAGGAATGTAAGGAGGACGGTATAAAAGTTTGAGGAATGTACAGAGGGAGGGATGAAGAGATGTAGGAAGAGAGAGACGAAGGGATTTAGGAAGGAAGGGATGAATGGATGAAGGGCCAAGCAATGAAGGGAGGAAGGAATGGAGGGGTGTGAGGATAGTGATAAAGGTAAGTAAGATCATTTAATACATATAATGCAAGCTTAATTTGTCCTGTTGAGCAATTTGGACATCTCGCCAAGCTGACTATCACATGCAAATTAGTTTGAAGCACCAGTTAAGCCCCAAGCCTGTTTTTCAGGCCTCAGACTCGAAAATGACATTCCCAGAACAATTGACTATAACTTCCCTTCTAAAAGGGGTAAATTAATAATCTTTTTTCTCAAAGCAATGACAAACTTGTGAGTTAGATGTAGAAAATTCAGAATCAATATATAATTGTTTTATTTTAAAGTAAATTCAGATTGAACATAGTAAAACATTGTAAATGATATTGTCCGTCCAAAAAAAAAACATTACTTATAGTGAAAACCACCCTTGAATGATGGGATAGTAGACTAAAAGCTTTAGGAAAACTATAACATATGTACCCTGTATCAAGATTGATGCAAAACAAGTGACATTTGACCTTTTCAGAGAGGTTTAGCAAAAAAAACAACTTCTGGGGTCATTTGGGTGCATTTTCCATCAGGGGCGGATCTAAAAAAATATTCATGGGGTGGCAAGAGGGTGGCAGGATAATTTCAGGAGTGGCATCCCCTGGTAGAAGTATATGCTGATTTAGTCACAGTCATATCAATCAATGTTAACTTGAAAAGCCACAATATTTATATTTTAACTCAATAACATTTGGTGACATTCTGGTCTAACTCTTAGACCAGCAGGGGAACCAAATCTTTGCAGACTGCTGCAATAAGTACATTAATTAACTGTCTCATCGATGTTTGTCTGAATTAATATGATACTATTAACAATCCTATTATTCCTATCAGCTGTCAATCACTTTTATGATTCACATATTCAGTGTTATTATTAAATAAACTATATTTGTTGGAGGAGTTAATGATGAATGTTCCTCAAGATGCTTGCTCACCCTCCTTCAAATTTGAAAGACAAGTAATTACTATCATAAATCAAAAGATTCAAAAGAACAGTTCAGCGCCCCACAACTTCATTGCAAACAGTTACAACCTTGACTTTACATCAGAAAGAACAAACATTAAAGAAGTGACTAACTGCATCAGTTAGGGTTAAAAAACGTGTATTCAGCTAAAACATATACATTACATCGCTGCAGTTATGATCCAGTGGAAAGCCCTTACCTACTGGCCTAGTTAAATCAAAGTGGTTACTTTCTTTTGGCTTGGCAGTGAAGTTTTACACACCGTCTTCTTCGACTTTCTCAGGACTTGAAACTGTTTTTTGGGGGAAGACCCCCACAAAGAAGAAAAATATTATACACCAACACAGTCTCCCTGAACGTCCAGGAGCGACGCTTGGTCAGGGTCCTATGGCGTGCAGTTGTGACGCGCCGAGTCTCCTTCAGCTTCATAAACGGACGTAAAGAGCTTTCAACTGATTTAAATACTGATTATTCCCATCAGCGGCGGTATTTGACGCTCAGGGAAGCACCGCATCGGTCCATGTTGGTGGCATGTTCACAATGTTGGATAACGGAGGATTTTACACCCGGAAGTAAGTATTCTCTTTACTGTTGATTGATTTTTACAGTGATATCTGCACTACTCATCAACTCAAAAACACCAGATTATTCTTGTTAATTACACAACATTGATTGGTTTAAATTGTGGACAATGGTTTTGTGTTTTTCCCCTTCGACTGAGAAACAAATAGTTGTATCGGAGTTTAGGATGGCCGAAGACACTACACTACCCAGAATCCTCAGCTATCGTTTGGGACTACACCATGTGCTTTGCTTGACAAACCCCGTGATTAGTCCTCAAGCTCTGTGATTGGATGTTGGAGTGGCAGTGTGCGAAGTTTACGCCGAGCGTCAAACAGCACTTTTGAAATGGAATGAATCCCATCGACGAAAAAATAGTGCAAGTAAATACAAAAAATAAAAATAGTTGAAATAGTGCCATAACAGTCTATATACAAGTGATTGGAATATGATATATTTGACAAATAATTTCTAAGTAGCAGCCAGATTAATGTTATGGATGTTGTTTCAAAGTTCAGGTGTGTAATAGGCTCTGTGCACAAAATGGCGTCTATCAACTTCCGGTGGCTGGGTGTGAGGCCGAGTACTTCCGGTTTGAGTACAGAGTTTTGACAGCTTGACAGTTGTTATGTCACACCGAGAGCAAGAATGAGCGGATTTTGGGGTAAATAAAAGCGATTGGCCTTCCAGCGTGTAAGAAAGTCGGCACTACATTGCTGTGTGCCCCTTTGTACAAATTCGTCCCGTTATCAGAATCAGAATACCTTTATTAGTCCCACAGAGGGGAAATTTGCAGCGTTGAAGCAGGAAAGAGCCACAGACAGCTTAGTGTTGAATATCTTACATGCGTTAAAAAGTACTAAGTTATAATATAATTAACAATATGCTAAAAAAAAGTACTAAGTTATAATATAATAAACAATATGCTAAAAAAGTACTAAGTTATAATATAATAAACAATATGCTAAAAAAAAGATAAAAAGTTACATAATTTTCAAAAATACAGATAAAAAACAAATCAAATCTACAAATCAAATCCTGTAGCAGTTCTTAGGATTTAGCATCCCGGTATATATATTACAGTTATTAAAGATGGCATATGTATATAAAGTATATATTGCACATAAAGCACATATTGCACATAGTTTGACGGTATTTAACAGCAGCAAGTTACACAATGTTATAATCGGGAGATAAGGGGGGGTGGTGAATGATCCCGCCTGATGGTTTTCAAAGTAACGTTACGATACATAACGTCTCACTTCGGTTAGATAAGTCAAATTGACTAGTTAAAGGGGGTGTAAGAACATCCATACATTGTTAGAAGTAATCATGGTGAATTAAGTTTTCAGATAAATTACTTCAGTACAATTACTAGTGCTACATTGTACAAAATCTCTCTTACAAAAGCCCCGTATTTAAACGTTAATTCAGTAAAAGTTAGCTCAGTAAAAGAATGGAACAATAATCCGAAAAATGTTGTTAAAATATTTCAAGTTGAAGAAAGATACTATTATATGATATTATTTGTTTTTTATTATTATTATTACCATGCATTAATGTAAAAGGGTTGACAACTAACTGTTGTAGTTGGAGCTCATTTTGAACAATGACCTAAATAATGATAACTTTCATAATGGTTTAATATGCTGATTATTTTCTCCAATAATAGATGAAGCTCTGGTTAGTTCCATAGGTATAACCATAGGTTTCAAAATAGTAGAAAATGCTGTCATTACCCAGAGCCCAAAGTGACACCTTTACAATGTTAAAGCTGTCAGATACATTTAGTGATGTAAAAACTACTATATTCAAGATATTGTAGTGGAGGCGATGTAGAAATTGGCATGAAAAGACGAATGTAGAGCCCTAAAACTGCATTTAAAATCTTTTCAAAATTAAGCTTTTAAATGTTCTATTTTGTTCACTAATGCAGCTGATTTCCTTCCTTCTAATTTTCCTCTCACAGGAACTACTGCTTGATCATATTTTGGGACGTCTCTACTCTCGTTTAGAGCATATTGTTGGACAAATGCCTCTGGATTTGGACTACTTAGAATTTATTTGCACACAAGAATTGGTCTTCTTAAATGCTATGTCCAGGCAGGTAGCTGTTTCTCTGCCCGTGTTAGATGCCATGAGAGAGCTCCATAGGCTTATAAACGTGGAAAAAGTAAGCAATACATTACAAACTGTGCAATTTGAGCAAGGACCAGTTGGACGGACCGAGAATGGTAATTTCTATTCCGGAGTATATTCACAGCCTTTTGGAGCTCAATCTGTCCATCCCATGCATAGCTGCACTTTTGGGAGTTTCAAGACGCACAATGCACCGACGCATGGCTGAGTCTGATTTCTCAGTCAGGGAACTGTACAGCACCCTTACAGATGAGGAATTGGACCAGTGTGTGAGAGACATTAAATCCAGGCAGCCTCACTCTGGATATCGAATGATGAAAGCACTTCTCCAAGCTCAAGGACTGCGGGTGCAGTATGACCGGGTTAGAGCTTCCTTGCACCGTGTTGACACCATCGGAGTCATATCCCGTATGAACAACTTAGGATGCATTGTTCGAAGAACCTACTCAGTTCCAAGCCCCCAGTCTTTGATGCCCATGTGAACACACATGTCCTCAATTGAAGATGATTTCAGATGCTTTTGAAATGTAACTTATTGTATTTGTAACTTACAGCTACAACCTTGTCATCTTTGGTGGCATAGATGGCTTTTCGCAGAAGGTAAGCATTTTCAGGGATAATATACATGTTTTATCGTGCTTACTGCATATAGCTTTTTGTCTCATTCAATTGGTATAACCGCATTTATCTGCAGATAATGTATCTTGGTGCAGCATCCAACAACCTCGCGTCAACCAACCTGGCCTTCTTCCAAGAATCTGTCGAGAAGTTTGGTTTCCCTCTTAGGGTAAATATGTCCTGAGGCAGGTGGGAAGCTGCCACTGAACCAACACTTAATGTGGTCTTTGTTGTAATTGTTGGTGTATTTTAGGTACGAGCTGATCAGGGGGTGGAAAATGTGGACATTGCACGTCTCATGTTTACAGTCCGTGGCACTGGAAGGGGCAGCTTTATATCCGGCAAGAGTGTTCACAACCAACGGTAAGTCCAAAAGATCAGAGATTGTTAGTTGAAAGACACCATCTCACTGCTGCCATGCCAGAACTGTACTGTTTGCTACACATATACCTACTAGAAGCAGTACTGTTATTTGCAATAGTGTGAGGTAAAATTCCTTTGAGTTGATGTCAGTCAAAGGGTACTGAACTGTGATCTCTTCATCATGCAAATTAAACAATCTCTTCCTTGCTGCAAAAATAAAAATGTGTAGAGTTTTTGCTGGGCAGTGTGTGTCAAATTACATTTGTATGTCACACCTATTGTCTTAGTATGTAAATAACACGAGATAATGTTTTAGAAACATGTTACAAAAACATCTCTTGTTTTGGACTGACAATGACTCAAGAAATGGTAGATAAAGAAATACACACATTGAACAGCAGAGCATTGGATTGCGTTAAAAGAAAATCCATCTGTGTGCATTTGTTGTTGATGGAAACCTTTTCTCAACAAAAGAAACTGCTGAGATCTTACATTATCAGTTGTTTATTATAAATACTTAATAATTCCATGTCAAATCTGCCACAAATCCAGATATTGCAATTCCCTGTCCTTTAACTTAAAAATGTTCTGGTAAACTTGTCCAGGATAGAGAGACTATGGAGAGACATGTGGACAGCTGTTACAGTCATCTACTATGATGCTCTACACTACCTCGAAGAAGAGGGTTTCCTCAACATTGGCAATGCTACACACCTCTTCTGTTGCCATTATGTGTTCCTGCCACGGCTACAAGATGACCTGGACACATTCCGCAGTGGCTGGGCAAATCATCCTATAAGAACAGAAGGCCATATGACCCCAAATCAGCTGTGGGAGCTGGGACGAATCCATCACCCAATTCCAGTTTCTGATAACATGGAGGTAACTTTGTCCAATTTTTACAACTTCAGTGCTTTCAATAGTCTTGATCCCTCAGCCACTAAAAAAACTGAAACCGCTATCCATGCTCTTGCAAACACCTACCAACTCCATTGAAACTTCCCTTCTATTTTCAGCCCAGAGCACCCTTTTAAGAGAGCAGGTGGTTATAAAGCCTCAGTTCCCCGTCAGAAAGGGCTATCTGACAGCAAGGTAAAGCGGTGAAAATATTTTAACTATAGCAGTTATACTGTATGGCACACGTTTGGATGGGTCAAATGCATAAGAAAGGTTTCCTGCTGAGAACATGTAATTTATCTTACCATTACATGTGGGAACAATTCATATTTAGCTGAGTGACTTACAAAAGTGTAGGTCAGAATAAGAGCCATGAACATTTACTAAACAACATGGGCAGTGGGTTAAGGCTTATGTTCCTAGAAAAGGAGTTACAGTATGTGAAAACAGAAAGATAAATGAGTAGGAGCATACAGATTTCAAAAGCCACAAGTGCCCACCTTACTGCTGCTGTATATCAAGATAATTAATACCGCAAATAAATTATTTTTAGGGTGTGGATATTCCTCAGATTGAGTGGGAGAACAGTGGATTTGCTCCTGATGGCCACTCTAGTGTCATTGTCCCAGACACAGAGAGCCCACTGACTGATGGACAAATGGCTTCTTTAAGAGAAGCTGTTGACCCACGAGCTGCATCCCAGTCCTTTGGCTCTGATATCTACATTGCTGCTGTTCAATTTTGTGAGCATGTTCTATCTGATGACTGAGAAAGAGAGCTTAGGTGTTTTTCTCCAATGTATCCTAATGTGGCACAAGCATCCACTTCACCTTTGTCTCCTTGTTATTTTACAGATGTATTATGTTTTTATGGCAGACAACTGTTCTGCTTTTGGAATCTTCAAATTGTATAGGAAAAATAATAAATTAACATTTGAAGAATGACAAATGTTCTTGTGTTTGTTGTTATGCGAACAATAGTGATGTCAGATTTGATCAGACACATAAAATATTAAAGATACAATTGGTCAATTCATAAAATGGGAAAGACAATCTAAAAAAGGTCACGTTTGATATTTGATCACTGCTGCCTATTTGATTAGTTTCTTGGAGTTAATGAGCACGATTGACAGGTGCTTCTGACTACCCTCAGCTCTGATTGGTTGTTGTCCTTTAGCTGATCTGTAGACCCTCAGGTATGTGTAAACTACAGGTTATGAAGTTATCAGTATTTGCCATGAGAAGCAGGTAGTGATCCCTAATACACATACTGGGCTGTTCAATATACAACAGGCTGATTCTGAACAGAAGAAAGGGGAGCACTTTATTTAGTATTTCCACAGCAGAAAAATACTTAACACTGGAGTCAATGAACACCTCTGCCTTCTACCAACACATTACACAATACCAAATCCTGTTTGACAAGTGCCAATACAAGCCAGCATTACATTTTCAAATGATGCATAGTCCTTGTAATGCCCTGGGATGCGCAGGGTCTCATAACAGGTCGAGGCAGTGGGGAAGCTGCCGTTGACCACCTCAATGGACAGATTATTCCGTGGCAGAATCTCCCACCCGGTCCAGAATTTCACCAGATTGGCCATTACATCAGGTGACGCTGTGGATTAACCAAACGTTGTTAAAATGAATAGTTGCTACAATAAAGAAAAGTAAGTTAGGAAATTCAAATAATTTGTAGTAGTCAATTAAAGCATCACATTTGTTATCTGTAATGTAAGAAATAGTTGTAAAGTAGCTTTTTTGTTTTACTTGAGTGTCTTTGCACACCTGCATGTGTAGGACAGTTGTGTCGGAGTGGAGTAGAAAGCATATCCAAAAGTGGAGCGCACACAGGTTTGTAAGATCAGGAATGTAACATATTAGGTCTTATCCTTAATATCATCATACTTTACTTCAATAGCATGTTGGCATTATTTCTAACTGTAAACATACCATTTTCAATGAAGCGGCGAAGATATCCTGATACACGGCATTTTGTGTCAACTGAACAGTCATCGTCCTCATCATCATCATCATCACGAGGCCAGGTGATGCGCTGAAGAATGACCTACATTGACAGCCATATAAAATAACATGGTTACCGGACACTAGTGTGAGAAATTTGTCTTAAAATGGGATTCATTTTTCCTCAAGCGAGCCATGTTCGACGAACCTAAACAAAACTAGGAACTAATCATAAAAGATTGATTACAGGCACAATGACTGATACTGGATAAAGATATGAAACCTCTGTCATATAATAGCATTCAAGAAAGGCTTGGATTTAAAAATATTACATGATATGAATATATATTATATACAAAAAGATAAAATTGGACAAATTTACCGCAGGGCTATAATCCACTGCTCCCTCTTGTGGAAATAGCAGGGCCACTGTGTCAGGGCGTTGACTCAGCATGGCCCACATTGGCGTCTCCTTAAGACCACGTCTGAGCTGCTTAATTTGTCTTATGACACGTCCAATTACCTGTTATTGACAATAACAGACAGAAGGTGGAACACTTTTGATCTCATCCACAGAAATAGCTTTGGGATAAAGTTCTGCATTGTCAATATATCATAACATTTCACGCACAGCATGGATCAACATCTTCTCAAAAAGCCATCTGCGGTTATTTCCGGTAAGGCAAGGGAGGTCCCAGGCGAAGGCCAAGTCCCGGACACTTCTTTTACCCTCATCAGAGATTTCGGATTCCCCTTCAAGCTTAAAGACACAGAGGGAAGAGGAAATAGAATGAAAAAATGTGTGACGGACGTCGGACACTACACGATGGGTGTAGAAATTCACTACCCCTTTAGCTTTTTTTCCACAATATAATACAGCACACAGAAAAAAATAGCTAAAAGGGTGGAGACTTTCTTGCTTCAGTGTATAAATAAGTGAAGAAATAATGGGGTTGGATTGAAAACATACAAGCCTGATTGTTGCCCGGATGTCTAGGTCTGGACAGTCCTCTAGTGTGACAGTGGCAGTTTCAGGAGTTCCTCCAAGCAGGACATGAACAACAGCAGGGCTGAGCCCCGACAGGCATGGTCCTCCATGCACGAAGGAGTGTCCCACCATTCTCCCAGCCATGATGAACATGTCCCTTTCAACGAGAAAGTGAGAGGCTGAGGGCACTAAATGGCCTGGCTCTCCATCAAAGAGCCGTGTTATGTCAGTGTTTGCTGTATAAGAGATGTTACATTGAAACAAAGTTAAATTAAGTACTACATCCAACACTACCATTGGGTAGTTGTATTTATTTTAACATTTTTATTAAGATTACAATTGTTTTGCCATTGTAGGCATAACATATTTATGACTTTTAGAACTTTCAGGGTTAGGTAAACAAAAATATAAAAAAACAACAGAAATGTAGGTTATATTTAAAAAACATTTTAAACACAAGACTTGCTCCTGCAAAGCAACTGTAAATAGTTATTTACAATTCATCTTACACAAAGCTGCATTCTACATACCAAAGTTGATGCAAAACCCAGAGTTCAGCTTGTCCATGCAAGTTGAGAAGAAAAAGCGACTAACACCCTCTCCAATGGCTGCATCACCTGTAACACAATTCAGGGTTTGATATAGACCATTTAAACGGAATTGCATTGCTTGGCAACAGCTTATGTCGATGTTTACCTCCTGTCAACTGATGACATTCACATACACGGCAACTGGAAATAAACTGGGACACATTCAGAATGTTTAAGTTTACAACTGAAATGGTCTATAGTAAAAGGCAAAAGCAATAGGTTTAAGTTTTCCTAGACTACTATGACATGTAATTGAAGCTACCTTCAAGTCTGCATTTTAAGGGTCGTCCCCATTCAACGTTGGGTTTCTTATAGAAGCAGATTAGTGCAGCGTCCTGTTCCGCAGGGCTGCTTCTAATATCCATGCTGAGAAGTAAGGGATTCTTCGATTCATGAATGCTCAGAACATCATCTCGAAACTGAGATATGGCCCTGGTAGGATCCTGAACAGTGAGCCACTCTAGTAAGAGATAAAATAAAAATGTTATCAGTTAAGCTTTCACGTCAGACCTGCCTGTAAAGAAAGCCAGCTCTGAGAAATACATTCAGTAGACAGTTCATCAGTTACAGCTCCCTATTTATCAGAATGTACCTTTTGACCTTTCCTTAGCAAGGATACAATTTAGGAAAAGTATTTAATTTAAACCAATACGGTGTAGACTATGCCATGTTGGATATGCTACTCTTTACTGCACCACCACAGTTTACCCTCCCTAACATTCTTGCCCCACAGCTAACCCTGATTAGGACCTACCTTCTGTAACTGCTGCGCTACTTCCGGATGGTCCAGGCATTGCTGCTTGTTCTTCAATGACAGTAATCCTATCCAACACCTCATTTCCTGCACTGCCAACATTCACAACATACTTTTTCTACACTTATATTCTATTTGTTAGACTGATTTAATGTTTTACATCTGTTGGTTATTGAAAAAAGTATATACAATATACCTTTCCCCACATGAAGCAGCATGTGCCTCAACGGAGTCAGCTTGATACATGTCCATGCACAGAGGACAGGGCTGCTGCTCTGGTGCTGTGAAATGTAAGTTGGCAAAGATGAACAAAAATCAGAGGTCAGCAAGAACCACTGCATTATGTCATAACTGTATTTTCCAACAAGCCATGTGTCCTTACCATGAATTGTGATTTTAGGGCATCTGCGTGTAATGATAATGGAAATGAATTAATTCGTACATGTTATCTTACCCTGCTCACAACTATCCTCCACAACAGCCAGGTTTTCATCACTGTCAACATCAATGATGTTGCAAGACTTGATGTGTTCTGTCAGGAGCTGCAGTGGAATGGCTGCTCCACACTTCTGGCACGTTGCTTTATGCATGCTACTGAATGCTTCATCCGTTAGTAGCAGTGGAGTTGTGTCGAGTTCTTCTTGCATTGGAGCTATGAAAAAAGTAGATCTACCCCCCCGGTTTGCAGCCTTTATGATCTTGCCTGTGTAGCCAGTATCATCAGGTTCCACAAGGGAGAGTGTTCGTGTACCCCATCCACCTATAGAGAACATTTCAATGGGAAAAAAAATCCTTCAATGGCTTGATGGATAAATTAACTTGTTTATTTTTATTTTAAAAGTTTACAGTTAGACATGACCTACATTCATTCAGTTGATAACACAGAATGGCATGCCAAAACACATTAGACAAAAATGAAAAGAGAAATTCACAGCTCTATTTGGGGAGCATTTAGTCAAAATAAAAGCTGACATTATTTCAAAAATGATCACAACGTTTTGCAAACCTGCTGGTTTGTAAAGCAGCCAACCACCAGTTATTTTCTCCAGTTTTGGAAATACAACTTTGAGTGTATGACATAACTGTAAGAAAAACAGTAACACAAAACAGTTTTAGTTAAAAAAGCCAACCGTTCACGATTAATAAACATGAATTCCTTCTGAAATCTGCTGAGATGAAAGCTCATTGTACTAGCATGTCAGTCTTGCTTTAATGCATTAAAGCTTAATAATTTCAAATGAGTTAGCTTGGTTGGAGAATTAAAGCCCAGGCCAAAAACTTTCCAAATACATTCAAGCAGAATATGTTAAAGGCATAGGTCACCCAATATTTAAGATTCAGTCATTATCTTTTCATCGTCATGCCAGTGTAAACTCAGATGAGATGGCTCACTGCCAGAGTAGGTTTTTTCCAGTCAATTGCACTAAATAGTTGGCAGTCTTAGTTGCCACATCTCAAATAGGAGTGGTGTAGCACTAATTAACAGAATTATTCATATGTTACGTACAACTATAGCAACAACTATAACTCATCTATAGCATCTGCTTACCTCATTGTGTGTTGTGCTCTCATCTAAGTTAGCAGTCCTGCGGCCTAGCCCCGCCTGCAAGTGCACTAGTTGCTCTGGCCCTGTTGGAGTTTTTTCATACGTCTTTGGTAACAGGTGGAATCAACTTCCATGGGTTTGGGTCTCTTGGCAGGAACAAGAGTCGCTGCAGGAAAACGCCTCTTCCCTCTTCCCTTAGTGAACATACCTGGAAAGGATCTGTGGAAAATAATAAATAAATAAATTAGTATGTGTACATAGAACATCAAATATCACAATATTTTTTACCTAATACCTTCATAAAGATATTGCGACGAGATTGTAGTGTGGACTATTGGTGCGTTCACAAAATATTTACACAATGAGAAGTTTGATGAATAATCATCAGTAATGTGGATATAATGACTGAGGGTAATAATAGAACAGCTAGAACAATCTGGTGAGTTCAGAAATTACATAATTTAACTGTAATGCAACCTTTAAAACCTGGACAAGACACTTATTATTACTATGATATCTAGACTCAAATCAAGATGTCGATAAATCAATATATTGCCCAGCCTTGGTTAAAATGTGATCTACATAAATATATAATTACTAATACTATCAGTTTTTATCTGATCAAGTTAATGTGCAGATTCTAATTATGAACCTTGTCATTTCCATTTGAAGAGAAGGTCTTGGTGGCTGATGGCCTGGCCTCTCATTCTGGCCTCCTGGCCTCTCATTCTGGCCTCCTGGCCTCTCATTCTGGCCTCCTGGCCTCTCATTCTGGCCTCCTGGCCTCTCATTCTGGCCTCCTTGCCTCTCATTCTGGCCTCCTTGCCTCTCATTCTGGCTTCCTGGCCTCTCATTCTGGCCTCCTGGCCTCTCATTCTGGCCTCCTGACCTCTGTTCCCTGCAGGATTGTTTCCAAAAAATAATCAGTAAACAAAGCCTGTAATTGTTAAGTTAACAAAATAATCTATGTGTACGTAATTATAAGTGTATTTTTAACACTTAACCTTATTTCCTGACTGGGGCAAGGGACACTGCCACTAGCTGCAATCCCTCCTCTTTCAGACGGGCTTATCAAGGACATCAAGCGTCTGACTGATCTTAGAATCTCAGCATTACTATCCTGTTAACACAAATATGGCACAGAAAAACATCACACGCTGAATGGAAATATTACTGAACTATTATTAATTAACTGAATTAGTTTACTGAACTTGAATTAATATGTTTAAATGCA